TTTTATGGATCTTGCATCAAGTTTACTACGATACTGAGGATATACATGAACGAATGCAGTAGACCCAAATATTTTTAATGGTAGTTGGGACACCAGATGGGATGTAGGATAGGCCATAAGTAAACTTTGCAAGGGTGTGCTGAATTTGAGAATACGGGAGGACAATCGGTTTATGAGAAGTCGCAGTGAGAACAGCTTCACCCCAAAAAGATTTTGGAATGTGTGATGTGAGCATTAGGGATCGGGCTACGTCGAGAAGATGACGATTTTGGCGTTCAACGACACCATTTTGTTGTGGTGTGTCAACACAAGAACTTTGGTGAACAATGCCATGAAATTGGAGATATGTTCCAAGGGAAGAGTTGAAAAAGTCACGTGCATTGTCAGTTTTCAGTACTTGGATATTGACTTGAAACTGATTTTGGATCATTTTATGAAAGGTTGTGAATAATTGGCTAGTTCCAGATTTGTCTTTCATAAGGAATGTCCAACTCAAACGTGTGTGATCATCAACAAACAGAAGAAACCAATGAGCCCCGTTGATATTTTTTCCCCTTGAAGGTCCCCAAATGTCTCCATGGATAAGAGAGAGAGGTTGAGACAGAGAATGAATATTAGGTGAATAATGGGCACGTGTGTGTTTGGAGAGTTGACTAATCTCACACTTGAAAAATTGACTCTTTTTATTGATAAATAAAGAAGAGAACAGACGCTCGAGATAGGCAAAATTTGGATGATCAAAACGATAGTGCAACATCATGATACAACTATCTTTATGATTTAAAGACTCAGAAATATAAGCTGACTCATGATTAGACTGAACTACAAGTTTATTGCATTCATGTGTTGGTGGAGGACTAGTTGCTCTCAGAAGATACAATCCAGCACATAGTTCAGCATTGCCAATCATCTTCCCCGATCTCAAGTCCTGAAAAATACAAGAGTTTGCAAGCAATTTAGTTTCCCAATTCAAGTCTCGATTCAACTTACTTACAGATAGCAGATTATACTCCAACGTTGGCACAAATAAAACGACTCAAGAATATGTGAGCTTGATATCTGAATACTTCCAATACCGGTCACTTTAGTAGGTGTACTGTTAGCAATTCGAACAAAGAGGTTTCCCGTATAAACTGAAAAGGATGAGAATAAGGGTCTATCACCTGTCATATGATCTGATGCTTCAGAGTGTACTATCCATTCAGATGGAAGAGTTTGAGTATGGAGAGCAAGGGAATTCTGGTTACCTTGTACATTCCCAAAACCACCTACTGTTGTTGATAGATTTGTTTTGTGCAATAGTTGTTGCAGCATGTTCAACAACTCTTTAGCATGTGGTTGTTGATTGGAAGTTTCAGATACAGCAATATTCCCCTTAGTTTCTCGATCCGATCTAGTAGTGTTCGACTTCCAATTTGCTGGTTTCCCATGTAGTTTCCAACTGGTTTCTTTGACATGTCCCACTTTATGACAATGATCGCACCATGGTCGCCCTTTGCGCTGTCGATTTGTCACCATAGGATTGGAAGTTTCCCCGAGCAGCAAGAACAATTGGATCATTGGGGTGATCTCGTTGGGAAATGAGAGCAAATCCAGTTTGAGTAGGAGGATGTTCAGATGATCCCAACATGACTTGCTTTCAACTTTCCTCCTTGCGTACTTCAAAAAAGACTTCTCGGATACTAGGTAATGGTTTAGTTCCAAGAATTCGACCACGAACTTCATCAAGGGATTTATTGAGATCCATTAGGAATTTGAAAATCCTCTTTGTTTCCACAAATTCTCGAAAGAGAGTACGATCATGAGAACATTTCCAATCAATAGTTTCAAATAGATCTAATTGTTGCCAATAGCGAGATAAAGTGGAGTAGTAGGTTGTAACAGATAAATCACCTTGTT